CTAGAGACGACGTTTTGTGCACGCCCCGATAGTAAATAACATCGGACCAAGATCCTGACTTGAGGACGGGGATGATAATTGACGTTTTCCATGCTTCAGGAAAGAATCCTTTTGAAATATAAACCGAGAATAAATGACTAAGCAGTATGGGAAGTTCGGATGCTTGTTTAATAATCCAATTTGGAATTCTATCCTTTCCCGAACAGTGTGAGTTTTTCAAACGACTTATGGGTTTCTTAATGAGATCTGAGGAGACATCGATTGTACTCTGTGTCCTATCTGAATGCAAATGGAAAAAAAGGGACCGGTTCGGACTCAGTATTAAGGTGTTTTGCAAATAAAGCACTAAACAACTCCGCCTTGTCAGTGTCCTCGATGTGGAAGACTTTGTTATCATTTAGCAGGGGTGGAAGATCGCGTCCACGCTTAGAGAAGGATCGATGAAGCAAGATGTTAACGACGAATTTGCCAGGGTTCGAACCACTGAGCGCAAGTGATTCTCTTTGCCTGTCGCGCGCCTGGCGCATCCTTGAGGCCATCTCAAAAATCTCTCTGATTCTAAGATGAACTGATAAGGAACTAGTGGATGGGTCACGCAGTTGTTGCCTTTACTTTTTTAGTTTCTTGTGAAGAAAATGAGGAACAAGGAAATCTGAAGAATTAGGCTTGAGATATTTACGCGGCACAAAATCAAGGATGTCCTGAGAAGCATTGGACATGACGTCCCGAAGAATTGTCACATCGCTACAGGGGAGGAAGACACACCAATCTAAAGATCCAACATAGTTATTTATTAGGCGATTATCTACGCAATCGTAGTCCGTGTAAGTCCGAAGGGTGCTGTTCTATTTTGAAAGGGGAAGCGGTAAGCAACAATGAATTAATACGTGGTCACTATCAAAGACGTCCTTCTTGAAAGCAACAAAAAAGGAGCAATGTAATTGATAAGGATAAGATTTAAAATGTGATTTTCTCTTGTTGGAGAGCGCACCAACTGGGACCAGTTAGAAAAGTTGAAAATATTTCGAAAGTGCTGGAATCCAGGTGGACAACTATTGGAAACCCAGTCTATTTCAGGATGGTTAAAATCCCCAGCGATTATTTTAACATCGAAAGCAGCTTCCGAAACTAGTTTAAAGGTTTCCCAGAGCTGTGAATCATCACTGGCTAAAGAATTTGGGGGATTGTGGATACAGCCAATAATTGCCTTTCTTTGCGGCGAGAGAATAACAGATGCAAAGCAGGAGTTTCCCGTGAATGAGGAAATACCCAAGTAATAGGGAGAGTGCTTTAGGTATGATTTAACATAAAGAAGACAACCGTCCCCACGCCTAATCGTGCAGTCTTGACGGCAAAAATCGAAGTCATCTATGAGAAGGGCAGAGTCAGGAATTAGAGAATGGCTCCGTCTTGTGACACCTGCCAGCTCTCTTTCGTTATGCCGTCAACTATCGTCGGTTCTTTTCTATGAAAGCAATTCCAACTTGGAATAAATTACCCAGGAATGTGAAAATTCTGCAGAATTGTCCTTTATTCAAGAGACTTGGTAATCGTTTCTTTCGCATTCGGAAAAACTCCCACAAATTTCGAGCGCTGAATCCACCGATCGAATATACCGTAGTTATGGCGCTTGTGATCTCTGATTCGTTCTTCATCGTGTCAAACTCCGCCTTCCATATATTAAGCTGATCATCTGTTCTCCTCTGGCGTTGAGATAAGTGTGAGTGAATACAGGGTAGTGTAATATGGTCACTCTTTCCGAGAGGCGCACTGGAATACTCTTCGTAAATTTTAGGGAAATAATCAGTGTGAACAAAGAACAGGCCATTCGCTGTCTGGTTCTCTCTAAATCTTGTTGTTGACTTCACATACTGCGCCAGAGGGAGGTCGAATATGACGTCCATTAACTTATTTATAAAGGAAGTTGTCCCACCGTTTCCCGCTCTATCGTAGGTGCGTTGAAATCCTTCGCAGTATGAACTTTTTGGTGGCTAGCTTCTTCCTTGACTAAGTGAAGCAACGACTCATCAGCTGCGCTCGGAAGATTTGGAGGTCTGAAAACCAGCAGAAATTCCAGGTCTTGAGCTTTCCTCTTCTTCATCTTTATCAAAGCAGATTCTGCTATAGCAATGACGTTGGAGTTTCTTTGTGAAACTAGCGCTTTGTTTCATCGAAATTCAGGACGATAATTTGCGAATAAGTATATAAGAATGTCAGTTTAGCCTGAGTAGTTCCGACATACAGGCGTTTGTCTATTTTATGAGATTGAATGCAAAATGCGGCCGAAGCTGATCGTCAGCATTTTTATGTTTCTTACCGGCACGATGGATGACAGTGTTTGAATACACTAAAAGGTCTGTCTGCCATCGCGCGAATTGACCAGTCGGATTCTTGATTCTCTCTAACCACCTCGTTACCTGGTGATCGGTGCGTAATATGAGCCGTTTGCCGACTAGGTGATGGTGAAACTTCTTGACAAACGCCGCGACGGCCAGGATCTCTCGCACTTGTCGGACCATCGCAAAGTGGACCGTTTGTTAGTAAGGCCATTCAAAGGGACGGCTGTGTGTGCGAAATCTTCGATAGGGTGGCGATAATGAGATGCAAACCCTAGAAACTTGCGGAAATCGGAAACGGACGTAGGTTGAGACCGGTGTCGAATCCGCCCAGTCTTCATGGGATCTGTCTTAATCCCATCAGTTGAGACGATGTAACCCAAATATGCGACATATGTCGGCATGAAACCGCACTTGACCTGGTACAGTTTAGGGCCCTTGTCCTGGATACGGGTGAAAATGGTTCGAAGATGAACATGGCAAGACTCGACCGATGACACATTTACGATAACATCGTTCAGATCCAGGTAGGACACAAGTCCCTCAAAACCGAGGCTATCAGACGGTGAAAGGTCGCATGCGCGTTTGCCAACCCAAATGTCATGGTTTTAAAATCTTATAGATGAGAGGAAATGGAAAATGCAGTCTTACACCTGTCCTCGGGGACCATTTCGACCTGCTAGTAGTTGAACTATAGATCAAGCGTGAAGACAGCCTCTCATGCGAAAGCAGCAGGATTCTGACAGGTAAGATTATGAACGGCAGTCAACTTTCCAAGAGGGAGGTTGGGGGGAGAGGGGGTAAGGGACCAAGCGTATTAGGTCAGAATGCTGAGGAAGGTTGGAACCGCCTGAATCACAGACTAGCTGATGATGAGAGCTATGGAGAAAGTAAAAGGGGAGGGTTGTCGTCTTAGACTTGGGATAGCCAGTGACAAAATCGATGCAGAAATTACGAGTATGCAGAAAATCAGCCCTCAAACATACTATGCGACTGAATATCAGTATAAACGCAAAGAGAATGGCGAAATTCCGATGAACTCAAGAAAAAAGTTACGTCGAATAGGTACGGAAAAGGGAGGGAGGGGGTGCTTGTGTGAGATTTTGGTATTGTTCAAACCAGTCGTGCGAAAGACCTATAGGGTTTAGCAGGGAGCAGGCGGCCCCTGTGTCTACAAGAAACACTAAACGTCCTCCGTCAAGAATAGGTGCAGAACAGTCAGACTGACTTGATGTTACTATAGGGACTGGATAGGACTCACTCGAAACTTCGGCCACATGAGTCTGACGGCCTGGGCGCGGACGAGTGAAATTTGGGTACGTCTACGTCGCCAAAAAACGGAGTCTGCTGTTGCCAGAGGACTGAGGCTGAGCAACAGGGGTTGGAGACCGATAACCCATAGCGTTCCTCGTACTCTTACACACGGGTCAGAAGGGATTCCGACAAAAGTTTGGTCTTCTTTAGTAACTTCCACCGAAGGTTATTATCTTACAATCCAGCGCGTAAATTCGTGGTCAGAATGACATCAGTAACAGTTGAATGTTGGTCGGGGATAGCTGCGAGAATAGGGGGACGAAGTTTCCCCACGTAATCCCTAGCGCTCTCACGAGGGATCTGCAGACAGGACGAAAATTGCCTGCAAACGTGCACAGGGGGCTTTGGGAGCGCAAAGAGGTGGCGGAGGGACGCAAGCAGTGACTCGTCATCGGCGCAAAACATCACTCTAAAAGCAGAAGCCGTGGTCAGCACCTTCATGGACCAATTTGCGGGCGATTTATTGGGCGTGGTCATTGGCGGTGATTGAGGCCAAGTGGACATTCGTTTAAGAGTGTCAGATATCAAGATTATTACCGGGCGTTAACAATGGAAGCGTGAACAAGGACGACTGCCTTCTCTCCAGAACCGACAGACGGACCCGACAAAGCTGTCGGGTTGGTTCCGAAGATGGTTGCTGGTGAGTCATGTTGAAAACCGCAGCCGACATATTTGAAGCGAGCAAGCGGACAAGGCACCGTACCAAAACAGAAGGTCTCCTTACCAGAAGGGTTGATTTGAAGCCGGAAAGTGGGAATGTAGCGAGACACAGAAGTGTTCAAACGAAGATAAATGACAGACAAGCAAACAATTTAGAAAAGCCAACAGTGCTTACTTTGGAAAACAGGAAGTGCATTAGGCATCGTCTTTTATAGCCCACCCCAGTATTGGTTCCTCCGTTCCTACAACAATTTTATATCAAATCAAGGGAAATAACTAAGGTAAGGGAATTGTTGATAATGCATTTCCACCACAAACCCACCAGTTACCAAAGCCTATACCTTACCCTTCCTGTAACATATCTAACCCTATCCCTGCCACTAACCCCCTATGTAAACTCCCAACCCTCACCCCTACAATAACTCAAACGCCGAAAAAATTGGAAATTTGCGTAAATCCACTCATTTGTATCTCTAATAACCAGCACCATTAAAGTGAGCCAGGAATAATGTAAGACATTCTCGGAAACAAATCACCGAACAGGTGTTGAAGTCTAAAAGGGGACACGTTGACGCCGTCGACCCTACAAGAATTCTCCCGCTATTAGAACAGGTGTAACGTGGTCAACCGAGACGAGGACTAGTAACGCTACGCACAGTCCATTCTGAGCCCCGGTGATAAGGAAAGACGATGCGGATCCTCAACAGTCTCATTAGACGGAAGACCGCACCAGAAACACCGTGCATGCATGAAGACGCTTGCATATTTTTGGCCGGCCTACCAGCCGCGTTTGATGAAGTGGCGAGGACACCCGTTGGCCATGAAGACGCGCCAGAGGTAACGCAGTTCCGGCTTTTGTTCTGCGGCTCGTTGTAGTGTCCCTGCCCTTCTGCAGTGTTCGCACTCCGTTGCGTTTTGCGGCTTAAGGGGTGCTTACTTTGGTAGCTAGGGGTTTTGCGTGTATTAGAAACCTTCCTATAGACCATCGTTTTGTATGTCCATTGGATTTTCGATGCAGGAGGACGTCAAGGAACGGCTGTTGGTTGTTGATTTCCGCCACCGTTGTAAACTGGATGTCAGAGAAATTTGAGTCCATGACATCGTGGAATTTTTGGACCGACTTCTGAAGAAATTCAAAAGCCCCATTGAGCGAAGATTTGAGGTCCAGTTAAATTATATCGTTCGTCCTCCTCAAATGAAGACAAGGAATAAGGGGGCAATTTTTCGGATTTCACTGTGCTTGTGTTGACGTTTGGGAAACTTCCTGATTTCCATTATCAGAGTAATGGGGGTGTCAGTTCATGCTGGTCTAGAACTGTTCTGTCTCGCCGCCTGTCCCGTGTCACAGGCATGCCTTACGCACAAACTCTGACCTGCCTTCTGGCTGAGGTTTGTCTTTGGTCTCCCCGTGGGCGATTGCTGGCGCACTCGTGTGACCTCTTTCCCCCGCGGTCGCGGGATCGAATGCCAGGTGTTGCACGCCTCGGATTGACGGCGGCCAATAAGCCAAAAATGGCCATGTGTATACGTATAAATTAGGAAGACGGAATTCGTTGGGAAACAGTAAACTTCATTGTGCGAATTTTTGAGACTGGTTCCCCAGCTCGTCTTGAGACAACGGGCGTGCAAAAACAATTAGCTTCTAGACCGAGTCTGGCAAAAGGATTCTATGATTGTTAAAGTCATCTTCTTTGGATTCGGATGAGTCAGTTTGAATCTGTCCTTAACGATTTTGTATGTGGCATCTAGATCGATATGCCGGTTGATGCATGTCTCATCTGAGTGCATTGCCTCCAGGAATTCGCGGCCTTTCCTTGTTGGTCAGGCACCAACAATGCGAGTGTTCTCCCATGCAAGTTTGTGCCAAGTGTCTACTGTGTGCATGACCACCTGAGATAGATGGTCGCGTCTCTTTACCGCAAACTGTTGTTCTTGTATAGAGGTCGAGCCAGATTTCCCAGTTTGGCCACAATAGACGGCATCAGAACTAGAACATGGGATTTTGTAGACAACACCTTTTCTTTCAAGGTAGCTAACCGTGTCCTTAGGGTGTACAAGCTGTGTGCGTAAGGTAGTTGCCGGCTGTCGAGCTACGTGTATCTGGCACTTTTTTAATTGTCTTTTGACTAGAAGAAGAAGATGAAGAAGGGAAAGAAAAGGAAGACGAGGAGGAAGAAGAAGAAGAAAAAGTAGATGGGAAGGCTATCGCGGAACCAATTGTTTATTCCTTCGACGTTTCGAACTCTTGTGTTAGCTTATCGAGAAATAACGGAAAAGACCGTATAACTCATTGCATATATAGCTTATCTCTGCCGGGGGTGGCCTTCAACCGCGTAGAAGAGGCTTATTGTTAAGAAAACTTAGAATACGAGAGGTATTCGTCGTCTTCCTGAAAACCGTTATTTTTAGCTTCTTATCGCCTTTTCTCTGAACTACTATGTCGAGAAACGGCAACTGGCAATCTTCTTCTTCCTCCATCGTGACCTGGATATCTGGGAAGATCAGATTTAGATATTCCCTAATACTGTCCTGATTGGTGATAACAAATGTGTCATCAACATACCGTACACCCAGTCGTGGTCGATAGCTGTCAAAAGCCTGCGCTGTAACACTGTCTCAACGATCAAGCTGGATAACGACAGCCCCACTGGTGTACCTTTAACTTGTTTGTAAGCATCTCCATGGAAGGCAAAGAAGGTCTTCCAGCAGCGCTTCAGTAGACCAATAAGGTGTTTCATCTTGAGTTTTTTGTCCGTCTCGTTATAATGTTCTTCTAGCAAGATTTGTATGGTTTCAATCGCGATATGCTGACAGATGGTCAGGGCGTACTCCCGACGTAGGTATTAGCTAAAATTATACTACTAGTAGTGCTACTTGTTCATAGGGTGGGCACTACATGATTATTCCGCAGTAATTGATTGTCCTCGACTTAAATGTCTGTTGAACTTTCGGTTCTGACCCTAAAAAGTCATGTCCCGGGAAGTTAACTCCATGTCCTGCACTCAATAATACCTGAAATTATTACCTTGATATGTATATTTACATGCATATCAGTCAATAGATACATGCAAACTGATGAAACTATGCTAGAGGCAGTAGCGACAAACTAGATAATAAATGCCGTTATCTTTTTTTTCCTTCCAAAAGGCAGAAGCAAGCAATCGCAGCGTGATCTACCCACAATGGCGAAGGGTTTGGGCTGAACACAGCTAGCCTGAATGAAGCATGGGAAATCTTTCTGTCACATATCGCTCAAATGTTCCCTCTGCATCAACAATCCAGTGGATGAACTGTGCACACAACGGAATTTTCCCACATGTAAGTAACTTCCTGTACATTAAGTTATTTAAACTGAACTGCTTTGTTGAATGAATGCGTCAGAGCCGTAGATCATTAAGGAAGAAGTGGGGACATTGTTGGGACCTTGACCTGCCAGCAATGTCGACACTGTGTACCGCGGTTTAGACCGACTGTAAGGTCCCCAAACCGCACCAAGTCTGTCCAGTCCAACATGGATTATGTACCCCCTACTTCGCAGGTAGTAACTGGTGGGTCGCATAGTGCGGGCCGAGGACTGCTCCCGACTACGCATAAAGTATTTTCAATCGAACCATCTTATCGCTGATAAGTGATTTTTTTACCGAAAATTTCCCGATAAGGTGAGAAGGATCGTAGCCTAGGTGTCTTGGCGAATGATAAGTACGGCCAGCCAGAGACAGAATGTGCATTGAGAACGACGGTGGGGACTACAAAGAAGCCGCCAAACACGAGTCAACAGTGTTCGATGGGTAATTC